CAGTGAAACCTGTTTCATGTACATCACTGATTCAACTCAGTGTTTCATACGTATTAAACTCTATTTGCTTTGCCTATTTAAGTAGCACTAGCTACTGACTTTAGTTTTGTCCTCTTGTTCCCTACGTACACCTCATAGGGACAGTTCTCTAGTAATAGACTCAGTTGTCTATTCAAAGTCTCAGTCTTAGTCTGAAGCTCTGTTTCAACCAGTATATGTTCTCAAACCACTATCAGTATATAGCAGCTCAGTTTGCAACTCTAGTATCAGTGTAGAACTATAGCGTGTATAAGTTCTAGCAACAGTTAACCAGTTGAACTCCTGATCCTCAGTCGTTAGGTCCCTTAACAAGAAATGCTTGAACATCTTTAACCCCTCTGGGTACCGGCTATTCCATGACTGCTTTGACTTTTCCTGGGTCCATCCAGACACTCCTATGTGCAATTAGCATTCCTAAGTACTCTATGCTATCAACCTTGAAAAAGCATTTTTCAGGTTGAGCAAAGAGATCATTCTCTTCTAAGAGTCTTAGGACTTCTTTAACCAAATGACAATGTTCTTGTAGATATTCTATAAAGATCAGAATGTTGTTGAGATAAACTACCACCTTGCCACTTTTTATAACAGGATTGAGAACCTCATTCTGTTAAAAAGTGGCCAGTGCATTGCAGAAACCAAAGAACATAACAGTAGGCTTGTATAATCCATACAGGGTGATGAAAGCAGCTTTTTCTTCATTACCTTTCCTAATACACACATTATTATAACCCCATCTAAGATTAAGCTTAGTAAGATCTTTGCTCTTGGCAAACAATCTATAAGGTCACCAATACATGGCATAGGAAATTGGTCCTTCTTGGTTACTGCATTCAATGCTTGGTAGTCTTACACTAATCATAGTGATCCATCTTTCTTTGTAACAAAGAATACTGCAGCTACAGTTGGACTTTTTGTTAAGGGACCTAACAATTGAGAATCAGGAGTTTGACTGATAACCACTACTAAGACTTATATGTGTAAGGCTGATGCACTATACTTGAACTAGGCTTGTAGACTGAGCCACTATAACTAATAGTGGTTTGAGAACATATACTGGTTGAAGCAACACTGCAAACTGAGACTTGAATAGACAGCTGAGTCTATGACTGAAGATGTCCCTATGAAGTGTATGTAGGGAACAAGAGGACAAAACTGAAGTACAGTAGTGCAAGTAGAGCTCCTTAAATAGAGTAAGAGAGATAGAGTTTAATAAGTATGAAATGGTTTCACTGGGTTGTATCAGTGATGAAACATGATATAAGTGAAACACAATATAAGTGAAACATGATGTAGGTGAAACATGATAAAGCTGAAACACAATATATATGAAACAATGATGCAGGTGAAACATACCAAGTGATGGGATCAGTTGTAATAGTACAGGGTCAACGACAAATAGTAAGGAAAAAAAGGAAACCCTCCCTCAAAGCTGTAACATTACCCCCCCTTTCTAGATTTATCGTTGCAGTCACCACTGGGCATGTCACTCCTTCAAATAACCCAGTTCCTTGGTAGGACAAGGGATTTTTCCATTTAGCACATCTTTGGTGGTTTGGAGTTTGGTGAAGCAGACTACATGAGGAACATGTCCATTGCCAACACTCACTTCAAAAATGACTGTCTGTGTTGCAAGTGGTACAATGGCAGAGTCGTCAAGGTATCGCACCTGAAGGAGGAGTGATAATGGAGAACTCATATTGCTCAAGTCAATCCTCCAAATAAGCAGCCTGGAGACAGGTCTGACATTGACTGAGTTTCTCCTGAGTTCAAAGAATCTCTGCTCCCAATCATCCTTGCACAGCTAAAAGGAGATCTAGTTTTGCATCAACAGCCCAGAAACAATTAACTTCATCAACTACTCCAAGATCTCCCATGGCTTGAAGCAAAGCCCATAGACTTTCCAATGCATTTGATTCCTGTGTCAGCAAATATTCCCAAGTGTCCTCCTCCCATTTCTTATCTGATGAGTTCCAATTTCCTATGGGTTCTGCAGTGCACAGAGCTCCTAGGGTGATGGTAGAAACATGTCGTAGGCTGAAGGCAGGGTTACCATTGATGGGAATTCCTATGGGAGGATGTGAGACATGAGTGGCATAGGCTCTAGGGAAATGAAGCATCATGCACTTGATGGGGTCAACATCTTCAACAGGCATCAAGGTGTTGAAAGAGATGGACCACCATGTTCTTAGAATATTGTTGGCAGGTCGTTGAACTATATTGTTGCTGTAGATGACAAATTCCTGGGGATCTGAACTATGACCTCCCTCTGATGCTGTGACATACTTGCTAGTTTCTGCAAGAAGATGTAGATTGGAGACTGGGAAGTTACTGCCATTGTTGGAGACATTGGAGGCTACAGGGGGTATTGTAGGTGATTTAGGGAGTGAAGACACTGTGTGAGGTTCATCAGGGTCAGGGGAAGATGAGACATTCATTGGTGAAGACATTGGGAAGGATTGGATTGGGATGGTGTGGTAAGATCCAGTAGAAGCTTCGGAAACATCCTGGGGAAGGTCTGTCACAGGACCAGGCAATTGATGTAGAACCATTGCATCACCACTAGAGGACTCTGTAGGACTTGGAGCTAGAAAGGGACACTAAATGGGGTATCTGAAGCCTCCTTTGGCAAGAAACTCCAGGGTTGAGATATCAGAGGATTGAGTTTCCAGGGTTGAGATACTGGAACTCCACTCCAAGGGAATGTGCAGTATTGGATGTACTGGTATTGGTGCTTCTATTATTCTGGCTGTGAAGCATTCTTTGAGGGTTCTGATATGGAAGGGAGTCAGTGGCCTCTGTCCCACAAATGTTTGAGAATTACTTCTAGCAGGAGCCAGAGGATGACAGCACTGATCGGAGTTAGATGGTGTTACAGTGTCAAGGGGGGTTTTCTTTTCTTTCCTACTATTCATCATTGACCCTGTACTATTACATTTGATCCCATCACCTGGTGTGTTTCACCTGCATCATTGTTTCATATATATTGTGTTTCACCTTCATCACATTTCATCTACATCACATTTCACTTACATCATGTTTCACCTATATCACATTTCATCTTCATCACTGATACAACCCAGTGAAACCGTTTCATGTATATCACTGATCCAACTCAGTGTTTCATACTTATTAAACTTGATTGACCTGCTTATTTAAGTAGCACTACTTGCTACTCTGTTACTTTAGTTTGTCCTCCTCTTGTTGTTCCCTATGTACCTTCATAGGGACATCCTCAGTAATAGACTCAGTTGTTTATTCCAGTCTCAGTTTGAAGCATTGCTTCAACCAGTATTCATTCTCAAACCACTATCAGCTATGGTGACTCAGTCTACAAGTCTAGTCCCAGAGTAGCATGTTAGTCTAGCATGCATAAGTCCCAGTACCAGTTATCAGTTGAACTCCTGATCCTCAGTCATTAGGTCCCTTAACAGGTGGAGTCACATTGCTGTTTCTTGTTTGGTTGTTGCACTCAGCAGGCATGTTTAAAAACCAAAGAAGAAGTTTTCTTGAAAAGATCAAACACAGAATACAAAGAACACCAAGTACTACAGACAAAGAGAGACCCCAGACACTAATCTTGATGCTCCC